TTTTGTCCCTATTCTCAAGAGTCACTGAGTTATTAATCAACTCAACCTGCTGGGTTTAACCTCGATTTAAAGGAGCTCAGTTTTTCAGCTGTTTTTCAGTGTTCTGGAAGTTTGTTCCAGATCTGTAGTGCATAGAAGCTGAATGCTGCTTCTTCATGTCTGTTTCTGGAAACTGAACCTCAGAGGTCCGGAAGGTTGATCCAGCAGCAGCAGATCTTTAGTCCATTCAGGGATTTATAAGCCAGCAGTAACAGGCGCTGTGCCCAACGCTGGGAACGCTCTACGGGCCACAGGGGCCAACTTTTTTCTGTTTGGCCTAACCAAAGGTTCCGGAGGAGGTTTGGATCAACAGAAGGCAAGTCTAGCCTGGTTCCATCGGGGCCACCAGAACCTGGGTCTGTGGAGCTTTACCTGTAGGATGGTCTCAAAGTTGAAGGTGAGTCCGTTCCATAGGGTGAACTCTCCACTGGAGGCCCCGGTCACCAGCCGGCGGCCCTCAGGGGTCCACTGCAGACAGAACCAGGACAACCTGTTAGATCCAAACGCAGACAGGAAGTGATGCGGCAGAGCGGCGGCCTCTCACCCTGATGACAAAGACGGGACACTTCACTTTGTTGGTGGAGGTCCGGACGAACTTGGTGGTGACGGCGTTCATCGGGTTGTTGAGCATTCCCAGAGGGGGAACCAGCTGCAGAACACACAGTCCGGTTAGGGCCCGGTTCGAGTCAGTTGTGGTCGGGTTGCAGTCAAATTCTGGTCAAGTTTTGGTCGGGTCCGGTTGGGTTGAGGCCAGGTCCGGGTCCAGTTATGGTCCACTTCAGGCCAGGTTCCAGTCAGTTCTAGTCAGGTTCTGGTCGGGTTGCTGTCAGGTCCTGGTCCGGTTCCGACCCGGTGCGGTGTGACTCACGTCGTTGTAGCAGCCGGCGTCGGGCTGGATGGCCCTGAAGTCCCGGTGGTCGCGCTGCCACAGGCGGTTCTGAAAGAAGACGGACACAGCTGGATTAACGGGCAGCGTGGCGCGCCAGAACCGGGCCGGAGGCGGCTCTGAGGTCAAGTACCTCCAGGTATCTGATGACGGACGGGTTGTAGTCGATGGTCTTGCGGTTGACGGCCTTCCTCATGCGCTTCCCGTCGAAGGTGAGCTGCTGCATGGCCTGCTGCTGCGCGAAGTCGGGCCGCTTGTAGAACACCTGCCGCGGCGCCTGGTGCTGGAAGCGCGGCATGTGGAAGAACCGCTGCGGCGAGCCCACGTCTGTCGCCATGGTGACCAGCTTAACCTGCAGTACAGACGGGACCGCAGCAGGCAGATTATAATAATAATAATCCACTTTATTTATAAAACCATTTAAATCTCCAACTGAAACCTCAAAGGCCTCTTTCACACACTGATGATGGATGATAGCTACTGGATAGTAGCTGCAGCTGCCCCAACAGGCTCACAGAGCACAGGCTGCAAATTTCTGCACCATCAGCTCTTCTGACCCCAACACCAGCAGGCATCGGTGGTTCGATAACCACCGATTCCACCGATTGCAACTCCATGGTTACTGGTGGCAGACAGCTGCTCCCTGCAGATGGGCGGAGCCTCGCAGCCTCTTCTGAAAGTTAGCTTTTAGCTCCGCCCACCAGGTCATGTTGCACGTTTTCAATTAACAATCGTCAACATGCTGTTGCCAACTCAACAACTTTCTTCCTATACACTCCTGATCAAAATCTTAAGACCAGTCAAAAAATTGCAAGAATTTGCATTTTGCACTATTGGATCTTAAGAAGGTTCTAAGTAGAGCTTCACAATGTTAAAAGAAGAAATCAGCGTAAGAGACAAAAACTTTTGAGCAGGGAATTAATTGAAAACTGCATTTACACTCAAACATGATTTTTTCAGCTGATCAAAAGTTTAAGACCATAGCTCAAAAAACCCTGAAAACCCCCCAAAACAGAAATCAAAGTGTCAAAAAAGGACTCAGTAATGAGCAGCTCCACCATTCTTGTTGATGACTTCAAACAATCGTTTAGGCTTGATGCCAGTGTTTCCAGGAGGCTAGTGGGAACGTTGCTCCAAGTGTTGAAGATGGCTTCACGAAGGGCATCCACTGTCTGGAACTGATGTCCATTTTTGTAAACTTCCCTTGCCATCCATCCCCAAATGTTCTCAATTGGGTTTAGATCCGGGGAACATGCAGGATGGTCCAAAAGAGTGATGTTATTCTCTTGGAAGAACTCCTTTGTCAGGCAGGCATTGTGAACTGCAGCATTGTCCTGTTGAAAAACCCAATCATTACCACACAGACGAGGGCCCTCAGTCATGAGGGATGCCCACTGCAACATCTCCACATAGCCAGCTGCTGTTTGACGCCCCTGCACAACCTGAAGCTCCATTGTTCCATTGAAGGAAAACCCAAATCATGATGGCGCCCCCACCACTGTGCCGTGTAGAAAACATCTCAGGTGGGATCTCCTTGTCATGCCAGTAACGTTGGAAGCCATCAGGACCATCAAGGTTAATTTTTTTCTCATCAGAGAAGACAACTTTCTTCCACCTTTCAATGTCCCATGTTTGGTGCACCCTTGCAAAGTCCAAACGGCTAATTTTGTGGCGTTGAAGAAGACGTGGCCTTTGAAGACGTTTTTTGTTTCTGAAGCCCTTCTCTCACAGATGCCGTCTGATGGTTATTGGGCTGCAGTCAGCACCAGTAATGGCCTTAATTTGGGTAGAGGATCGTCCCGTGTCTGACAGCCAATCGGATCCTGCGGCTCAGAGCTGGTGAAATTTTTTTGGGTCTACCACTTGACTTTTTTGTTCCATAACCCTCAGGATCATTTAAAAAATGCAAAATGACTGTCTTACTGCGTCCAACCTCAGCAGCAATGGCACGTTGTGAGAGGCCTTGCTTATGCAGCTCAACAATCCTACCATGTTCAAAGTCAGTGAGCTTTTTTGCTTTTGCCATCAGGAGGTCTTGACAGTGTAAAGACTTGACAGAAAATGACATGGAATCCAGATTTTTGCACAGCTTTTGGCTTTTAAAGACTATGGTCTTAAACTTTTGATCAGCTGAAAAAATCATGTTTGAGTGTAAATGCAGTTTTCAGAAAATTCCCTGCTCAAAAGTTCTTGTCTCTTGCACTGATTTTTTCCTTTAACATTGTGAAGCTCTACTTAGAACCTTCTTAAGATCCAATAGTGCAAAATGCAAATTCTTGCAATTTTTTGACTGGTCTTAAGATTTTGATCAGGAGTGTATTTAGCAATATTTCAGACAACGCACATCTCAGCAGATATTGGTGTTCTACCAACAGCAGCTGATGCTGGAACACAGAGAACTGATTACCATTTATAATGTGGATTTATTGATATTAATTTTTATTCTGGTAATTATGTGCAACCTTTATGTTGTCGCCTCAGATGTGCTCGTTTGCTGACCTGCTTCTCTCCTTTTAACTTTCAAAGAGTAATTTTCCTGCCGGAGCTTATTTATCCAAAACTTTGTTTTTAGGGAAAGTAGATACGAAAGTAAGTCCGGCTGTGTAATGTAACTGAATTATGTTACGCCTGAATTCACCCACTCACTGTGGAAATGCTGAATGCTTGAACGGGAGAAGGGCAGAGGTCAGTCCACTAGTGCTTCCGGGTGAACCCTGTTCCTAATGACCCCACTACTTCTCCCCTCCAGCCTCTGCTGTTTAAACTTATTGCTGTTTGTTTTTACGTGGATTCATGTTTTTATCGTAATTCGGTAGCACGTTGAGCTTTACATGTAAAGAGGATTAAGAATATCATTTTATTATTATTTTAAGCCTCCCTGCTTTGGGCTCATTTGGTGCTAACCAGCAGCGGCCGTTAGCAGCAGCTAGCAGCTTCAACCCCAGGATTCGCTTCTCTGCTCCAGGGTTTAAGCGTTTAGAGGTAAAACTGTGCTGAGGTGAAGCTTAATGCCTGGTTCTGCTTCTCTGTGTCTGATATTTAATGCCCGAGTTCCGGTTCTGGAGCCCCGATCTTTAACCGAACACAGCAGCGCTGATGCCAAGCGGGTTAGCCGCAGCAGCTAACAGCCTAACCGGGCGCAGGGACGGCAGGAATCCGCGGATGTTCCCCTAGTAGAACCCTCCAGATGGAGTCATAACAAACCACTGGGTCCCTGCAGGTTCCGAGGTTTTAAACACCGCTTTTCGGTTCGGTTCTGACCCATTTCAGCCATATGAGCATCTTTAATGGCGACGGCGGTTCCGGCAGCAACTCACCAACAATCAGCTAGCTGGCTGTCAACAACAGACTGGGTTCTCCTGGAGGCCGGTTCTGGAGAACCATGAGGAGCTCAGCCTTCACCGGCAGATGGTGGCACAGAATCTTTCCCCAATACCAGCAGATTAATCAACTAATATGAACAGATTTATCACGTTAACCGCCAGCGGACTGCATCATGACGCCTCTTCTTCTCGGCCCGATGAAAGGCATGCTGGGAAACCTGCGCAACGGGCGGGATTTTGCTTCTGCATCATCCCGCAAAGGATAAAGGGAAACTGAGTATTTCGTGGCTCAGCCATTTTAACCAATTACATTTTATATACACATAAAATCAAGTTTTGACTCTGATGTATCCCTGGAATGTTTTATATAAATTGGTTAGGCAATGTTTTCTTTAAAATTGTATATATTTTTTGTTTTAATGAAATACAATCCAGATTATTTTAACATCACTTTTAGATGTTTGTATATTTTTGTGTTGAATTATTTGTTTAGATATTTTCTCATCAATGTACATTTATTGCATAAATTCCGCCATTTCATTTCTGGTCCTTGTTGGTTGTGATGTTTATGAATTCCAACATGGTCTCCGTTAACGTAGCTCAGATTAATTATTCATAATAAATCAGTTTTTGTCTAGTTTATTTCAACAACTAGAACTAAAATCTCACCCTGAGCAGAAAGTTTCAGGAAGATGTCAGAAATGTTCAGATTTTTCGGTTTAAACTTCTCCTAAAATGTCAGCTGTAGTAGAAGTAGCTTGTGACGTCATGGCTCGGTCCTGTCCAATCAGAACGCAGATTTAGTCCGTTCAGCGCCGAACTCAAACCGTTGAAGCCCTGTGCTGCTTCGCTCCGACCGTTGGTTCTGCCGGTAAGTTCTCTGCAACAGCACGGTACCAGTTGCTCGATCCTACCAGGCTCGGACCATGGGAGAGGTTCGGGCCCGTTGAAGACTTCTGTAGCGGTCTGATCGGTGTCTGCGGAACTGTAACGGCCCAGTTTAACGGCTAACTTCGAGCTAACCGGTCGGGCTAACTTGCGCTGTTTCAACCACTTCCATCCGAATTTCTGGACCAATTTCACAAATCCGTCACTGCCCATGTGCAATAAGCTAAATTTAACACGGATCCAACAAAGTTTCTGTAAAATGTGAGCCAGAACACCCGGATCAGTTATCGGTTCCACTATGGTCCATGAATCGTTCTGCTCATGAGGAGCCGAAAGTTATCTAAAATAACCAGTGAACCGAACCAGTTCAGGAATCATTCTTTTCAACATCCGGGTTAACTGACTTAGTCAATCAGAACTGATTCGGTTCATCAGAACGTTTTTAATCAGAATATCTAAACCGGCTCTGGGTTCTGCAGGTTCAGCAGATGATCAGGCCAGCTTGTTTGGCTGAACCTGATCTGAGAGGCAGAGATGAGCAGCTGGAGCCACAGAACCAGGTAAGAAACACTCCCGCACCTGTTCCCCTTTTGCTCTCTATCTTTTCTCCATGTGCACTGCATCTGCATCTTCATCTGATGATGATGATGCTGTTCGACTCCGTTCTTCTGTTCCAGTTCCAAGAGTCGGTCCAGACGGGTCAAAAGGTTCTCCAAAGTGTCTCTACAGAAGCCTGGATGGACCAAAGAGGAGGCAAGAATGATATGATAATGATGGCGATGATGATGGTGATGGTGGCGATGATGATGATGATGGTGGTGGTGATGGTGGCGATGATGCTCTTCCTCAGGATGAGCTCCTGCGGCGCCTGGTGAAGGAGCGTGGAGCCAGCAGCTGGTCCTCGGTGGCGCTGTCCTTCAGGGTGAGCGTCTCAGTCAGACATCTGGTGTCGAGCTCTTTGGTGGTGACCACCGGGGGGCGCTCTCACTTTCTTTCTTTCAGGGTCATAGGTCAGAGGTCCAGTGTCAGAGACGCTGGCAGCAGATCAAGAACCCAGAGCTGGTCAAAGGCCCGTGGACCCAGGAGGAGGACCGACGGGTGAGGACCGTTCACCCCTGCCGCTCTGTGCCCCCCTCCCATCTGGATCTGATGTCACTTCCTGTTTAGGTCATGGAGCTGGTCCAGAAGTATGGTGTGAAGCGCTGGTCGCTCATCGCCAAGCATCTGCACACTCGCAACGGGAAGCAGTGTCGAGAGCGCTGGCACAACCACCTGAACCCGGCGGTGAAGAAGAGCAGCTGGACGGCCGAGGAGGACAGGGTGGTGTGCCAGGCCCACAGGTTGCTAGGCAACCGCTGGGCCGACATTTCCAAGCTGCTACCTGGCAGGTACCCGACCTGCTGCAAGTCCAGACGTAGAGGTGCTACTTCCTCTGGAAGGTCCTCCAGTCTGGTTGGAAAACTTTTTACCTTTTTAAATTTTTTAACACAGCAAACAGGTGCGTTGACCTGTCTGCAGGTGCGTTGACCTGTCTGCAGGTGCNCAGCTGATCAAAAGTTTAAGACCATAGCTCAAAAAACCCCAAAAACCCCCCAAAACAGAAATCAAAGTGTCAAAAAAAGGACTCAGTAATGAGTAGCTCCACCATTCTTGTTGATGACTTCAAACAATCGTTTAGGCATGCTTGATGCCAGTGTTTCCAGGAGGCTAGTGGGAACGTTGCTCCAAGTGTTGAAGATGGCTTCACGAAGGGCATCCACTGTCTGGAACTGATGTCCATTTTTGTAAACTTCCCTTGCCATCCATCCCCAAATGTTCTCAATTGGGTTTAGATCCGGGGAACATGCAGGATGGTCCAAAAGAGTGATGTTATTCTCTTGGAAGAACTCCTTTGTCAGGCAGGCATTGTGAACTGCAGCATTGTCCTGTTGAAAAACCCAATCATTACCACACAGACGAGGGCCCTCAGTCATGAGGGATGCCCGCTGCAACATCTCCACATAGCCAGCTGCTGTTTGACGCCCCTGCACAACCTGAAGCTCCATTGTTCCATTGAAGGAAAACGCACCCCAAATCATGATGGCGCCCCCACCACTGTGCCGTGTAGAAAACATCTCAGGTGGGATCTCCTTGTCATGCCAGTAACGTTGGAAGCCATCAGGTTCATCAAGGTTAAATTTTTTCTCATCAGAGAAGACAACTTTCTTCCACCTTTCAATGTCCCATGTTTGGTGACCCTTGCAAAGTCCAAATGGGCAATTTTGTGGCGTTGAAGAAGACGTGGCCTTTAAAGACATTTTTTTTGTTTCTGAAGCCCTTCTCTCGCAGATGACGTCTGATGGATATTGGGCTGCAGTCAGCACCAGTAATGGCCTTAATTTGGGTAGAGGATTGTCTCGTGTCTTGACGGACAGCCAATCGGATCCTGCGGCTCAGAGCTGGTGAAATTTTTTTGGTTCTACCACTAGACTTTTTTGTTCCATAACCCTCAGGATCATTTAAAAAATGCAAAATGACTGTCTTACTGCCTCCAACCTCAGCTGCAATGGCACGTTGTGAGAGGCCTTGCTTATGCAGCTCAACAACCACGTTCAAAGTCAGTGAGCTTTTTTGCTTTTGCCACCAGGAGGTCTTGACAGTGTAAAAACTTGACAGAAAATGACATGGAATCCAGATTTTTGCACAGCTTTTGGCTTTTAAAGACTATGGTCTTAAACTTTTGATCAGCTGAAAAAATCATGTTTGAGTGTA